TCGATGTAAACATTTGGTTCATCAGTTAACATGCTTATATTTACGTATCTAAAGGGTATGCGCATCGCAAAGTTTGATTAACTAGCAAAAGTACAAGACACAAATATTTACTGTAATTCGAACATTAAATACAAACAGTAAAGTTTACCATACTGAAAATGGTGCAATAAGTCGAGAGTCCGACTGTAGTGTAAAAAACAAGTTCTGTGAAAGTAAATAGGTACACTTCCATGGACAATTTTTTTAATATAAATGATCGTACGATTATGTACATTATATAGTCACTACAATTTTTAGGGAGGAATTAACTATTTTGGTATTTTAATTATGGCATTAAATATCATAGGAACAGGCAATTTGAGGTCATTATTTTTATAGGAGCGCCAATGAATTATGACATTTGCACCTTTACGTGGTGGAACAACCACTAACTTATATATTTTTAAGTTTTGATTAACCTATGTGTAATTTCTCTATACAACAATAGGAATAGTTAACAGTTTTCGGTTATATATTTAAAATATTTACTATTATATCTTTGAGCATAGGTTGTGCGTGAGTTTTCAGTGCATTCACTGTAAGTTGGAAATATTATACTCTTGAATGTGAAAAATGCTTTATAGCGCTGACTCTTAAATATTTTAGTGCGTATATTTTCTCCAAACAGTGTGTCCTGAGCAGAATAAATTTTACTGAACGTCCGATATAATAATAATATTATTATGTTTGTACTATATATATTCCCCGTTTTCCAAGAACATTTAAAAGGTCGATTCATACTTAACGGTATTATAATATGAAAACCGTAGCCGGTTCTTGAACCATATCATTATATTTAATCATTTCTGGACGAAAAAGTTTGGAGGCCACGAAAATAAAATGTAATTCTTGGGGAGCTTTAGTAGCCCGGAACCGCGGTCGAAATGGCCGTGTATATAGGCAAAATTTCAGGTGCTGTTATTGTGGTGACGCTCAAAATTATAATGTTTTGAAACTTGGTAAACGGTGGACGGGATGGATGCAAAGTAGAAGTAAAAGGAGGGCTGATATCACAGGGATTTCGAGAAAACTTAAAACTTGCGATGCGCGAGACGTTCGCGCACGTGAGAATTCAAACAACGCACGTCGAAATTCGCTGACGAAACAGACTATGACAATCGTTTTCATCGGCATCGTCGTATACGAACTGTAAGTGCCACGTGTTCCGTGACGACGTTGAAATTTAATATTCTCACTGTTCATGTTTAATCGTACTTAGACGGGTCTTTTGAGCAGATTATATCTATATAGTGTCGAGCGAAAGTGGTTTCACCAAGAAAGCTCACCCTCCATTTTTCCTTTATAAATGAATTTGTACACATTTTTGTTTTTGGAATTTTTAAATAGACCATAAAAGGACTGAGCTTGAAGATTAAAAACGATATTTTCAATTATTCCTCGTGAATTTTCAGAAATGACATAATTTTCTTTGTTTATCACCATCCTCAGAACGACAACTATTTAGTTTGGCACTCCAAGAAATTCTCGGAAGTTCCAAGAAGGTCACCGAACCTAGAATTTTATTACCAGAAATACCATAAGTAGATAATAAAATGTTGATTTTTTAAGTTGTATCATATTTTTTAGTCGGTTGTATTTATTATGATACCTAAAGCATCGGTTTCCCTGTCAAAATAAATGATATAGACATAATGAAGCAAGTACCTCTAGTCAATAAACATAATACCTATATTTTAACTTTTAGTATTGAACCTAGTTGTTTATGTCTCTTAAAGTTTTAGTTCTCTTAAAGTCATTAAAGTTAAATACGTGAAGGCGAGTTTCTGCCATACGAATGTGCCGTACTGCCGTGAACACGAAAAAAATTCAGCTTTGGCCTACAACACTGTATCGTGGTGAATTGTGTGGTAACTTAACCTAACCAATCAATCACAGTAAAGGGTTTAACCTAACACGCATATTGGAAACCCGCCTTTATGATTTTAACTTTTATGACAGGCACACTAGCCAGATACTACACCACTGTTACTCTGATATTATAACCTCGTTGATAAATACTACGAGGATGTTGTCATTTATCAGTTGTTTTCAACTTGAAATTTATGTCTCGCCTTTTGTTTTATTATTTTGAACTTTATATTTAATTTTAACGTCTTAAGTTCACTATATAGTTTAAAAACATGACACACATTTCTTTCCAAAAATTACCGCATAGTTATGTTCCACCTTACAGCTATTACGGTTCTTCAAATATAATGCGTACGACTATTATAAAACAATTTTAAATGTTGACTTCGTCTTTAAAATTTAGTTAAAAAAAAATTCTACATTAATTTAATTGTGATTTTGTTTTTAGTTTACCTGTATAAACTTAATTTTAAATGGAAATTATTTTATGTTTTGTTACTGCATTATATATTTTTATTCCGCTCTTATTCCTTGCAGATTGTATTAACTTGCATAAATATTATTTCGTACTTTTGCCTTTGGGACTTAAATTATTATTATTAATGTATATAATGTATATACAATATAGTATAAAACGAGACTGACGTAGTTATGAACAATTTGATAGTGTGCAGCATAGTTTATCGATCCCTTTGCTTTTAATGCGTCAGAATGCCGGTAATTTGATAACAATAGTGCGTTATTTTTTATGATCGATAAACGAGGCTGGAATTATTACAGTGGTTTATTTCAATATGCAGGTACGTTGGATATTGATAAAAAAAAAGTTATTTTAGAGAGTGGAAAAAAATACATTTTGAACACATTCTCCAAGTGAAATTCACAATTTTACTATCTATATAATTTGTACAACAATAGTCTTGTTTTTAAAACGCGGATATATTATATTGTATTGAACTGACATAAATGGGGTGTGTGGAAAGTAAAAGATAAACCAAAACATAACAAAAGTATTTATTGGATACCATGCTACTACCTATGTCCTACAGCATATTATATTTCTTTACGCGTACTTAAAAATTCTTTGATATTTTTCGTTAATTTTCCCCAGATATATTTAGGTATAATATTGTTATAAGATCGTTCGGTGGGTTAAGACTGTATAATTAAACATAATATTGTAATTTGTTTGAATAGTTTTCGTCGTGAGTTATAATATAATTAAAAATAGTTATCGATATTGTAACCACCTCATTCCTGCAGGAATGCTAGACGATAAAGATGATATAACAGTATCGTGTACAAGTAGTCGTGGTTTTGCAGGGATGGTGGAACGCAGTGACACTTATTTTTCTAGAATATAATATTTCAAAGTATCTGTCACATTTCATTCTAAACGATTTGTGAAAATATATCAATGAACGTATTTACATGGATGCACGTTTTTAGTACACTTTCGCCACTATTGTTTCCTGCAATTCAAGCGTTGTTTACGTGTACAATTAGCACGTATATAAATAATTACAAGTGTGTTTTATCTTTTTTTTATTTCGTAAAATAAATAACGAAAAATAAACATTGGACACGAAGTGCAGAAGCATCATTAAACGGGTACAAAGCTAAGCTACGGTTCATTAGTAGCGTCTACCCATTAGTGCGCGTAACTGGGGTCACATTTCACTCAATGTGACCAACCTTGGAAATTCGTGATTTCGTTGAGACTTATTCGGTTAGGTGGCGTTTACTATATTTTCCAGAGCCACATTACGATACATGTGATCCTAGAGTTTTCAGCAACTATTTGGTTACCATGTAAAATCTCGAACAAACGCGTCTACTCATATACGTCGACTATAACGGTGACAACGGTTTTATTATCATCGGTCTGTAGTAAATAATGAGAAATATTATTGTGATCCGATTTTACAATATTTGTACAATAATCTAAATTTTTTTTTTTTGGTTCTTATGCATTTACACGATGCGCAGCCAATTCAACCATTGCTATACTATGATAATAATAGTTGATACCACGACTTTTCGACTATCCTTTATTATTATAATCTCAAATTTAGTACAAATTAAACCTATTACATATTTACAATAAATAAACGAACTATCAATAGATATGATTGCACCACTTGAGCATCACGTAATTTAATTTTTAAGCTAACCTATAACTATCTTGTTATGTTTATAAACCTTTTTTAAATATTTTAAGTCATTAAAGCCATACAAATAATAAATTTAATTACCTGTTACATTCGAATAAAATGTCAACTAAACATTATACCTTCATGCATATTATCATGATTTGGTTTAGGTTTTTGACTCTATAACAAATGGTTGATTCTATAAATTAATTCTACATTTAGTGAAAGCTCACAGTATAATTTTATATTGTTTCGTTACTTCAATGGTAAACATTGATTAATCACATCCCCTTCCTGCCATCCTCTTCCCATCCCCTTAAATCGGCATTAAGTATGAACTCATTGAGCCTATGCGATCTTAAAATTAACGTTCTATTAAACGTGCCATTAATATTATTTATTAATATTTGTAATCAAAACGGGAGCAAATTGCAATTTTTTGTGTTCAAGTTCATCATAGTTCGATTTAAACGTGGCTTAAGTACAATAACAAATCATTTCCACATCAATAATTTTTTTTTTTTTTTGTATTTAATATACGTTGTATATCTAAACGAAGTAAATTACGTAGCTGATAAACAGGCGTCATACTCATAATATATTAATATTAAGTAGTCTGGTCATATAATTATCCTCTCACCACTATATTTTCTACGAACAAAACAACAACCATTATCATCCGTGTAAACACTTCTTATCAGAAACAATGTAGGCATTAACGAAAACAATATTTTTTATTTTTTATTAATAAATGAAGTGTACTTAGTACTTACTTAATGAGGATCTTATTTGTGGTTGCTTGGCAGAGTTTTCTTCTTAGGGATGGCGGTCTTTATCTTCGCAAGCTCCTATATTTCTTCACCTATTGTTGTTAAGTGTAACTTATATGTTGTATTGTATTGTCTTGTATTTATAATATGTTATTACTGTCTTATGCAGCCGGACAAAGAAGACAAGCTGTTCGTTATCAAACCGATCCCGACGGTGAATGTCAAGCCTGTGATAATATTTATAAACCCAAAGTCTGGCGGCAACCAGGGTGTTAAGCTGCTGCAGAAATTTCAGTGGCACCTAAATCCCAGGCAGGTGTTTGACCTCAGCCGGGGAGGTCCCAGGATGGGCCTGGAACTGTACAAAAAGGTGCCAAACCTCCGGGTGTTGGCGTGTGGTGGCGACGGCACTGTCGGTTGGGTGCTGTCGATCTTGGACCAAATAGCCAACGCCGTGTCGTTTCCGGTGGGTGTTCTGCCGTTGGGCACAGGCAATGACCTGGCCAGAGCTCTCGGTTGGGGTGGCGTAAGTATAAAATGAATACTACAATAATACTCACATATGTGCAGTGTCCTAGATGCAATAAAGTATCTATGAGTCTAGATAACGGTGATGACGTGGTGTATGATTATGTGAGTAAGTATAGGCGAGCTTGGATAAAGGTCACATGATGATTCGGTTCTGGAGTCTACAGAACTTATTATATTATTTCTCTACCAAGCTTATAAGTAAATAACATTGGAGATTTTACATTTCATAAATTCTATTTACCATGACAATTATTAAAAAAATATATATCTTGAGTCCATAAGTAAAAAATTGATATATCAATGTTTCCGAAATTCTAAATGTACTTTGAATCCATAGTATCAGTACCTAGATACTTTTGTCTCAATTATTTTTCCCATCCATTATTAAGCTTATATCGACTAAACCCGTGTGTCGGCCTCGCGATTTATTTCGAAACAATCTTGTGTGTGACCAATAAATCTACCTTGCGTACCAGTCAAAAACGTTATTTTCATTATTTTTTTTTTTTAATACGAACGTCGTCTTGTCTTGAATCAACTGCACCGTCAAGTAAACGATTGTGCGTAAATTTATTGATCGTATACAGTATACACTATCGATTAAACGCGACGAAACACGTCTTGCTGGAACGCTATCCTGAGCCAAATGTAATTATGTACATTTTGCCTATATTTAATCACGAAAACAGCGAAAAATAACATTTTTTATTACTCTACATTATAATTTTTTGTACACGTACGATCTGATTTTTTATTCAACTATCTACGGACGTGCCTATATTTTTTTGATATATGGTTGACGTTTTGAGTTACTAGAGATATCATGCCATGCGATAGTTTAGCTGTTTAAATGAAACCGATCAATTTTTGTATCTATAAAGTAAATTTTAAGGTTTGAAAAATTACAAATCTTCAAATCTATTCGGATAACTTTATTTCCACACAATATTATATAATACTGCAGTATTGTCCATACTTTAAATCGTACCTAAGTATGTATGGTAACTAATAATATTGTTACAATACTTTTGTCAAATAATCAAATGTCAGTGATTTCAACGAGCATCATAAGCATGTATGACAGTTGGAAAAAAATGGAAAAATATCAAGTTGAACTAAAGTAAAAAAAGATCTTTCAAATATCATACTCATCACTAAACATCGATATATCGATATTTTTCTTCTTCTGTGGTGTTTATATAGATTCTAAAATTAATTTTCTTACAGGGTTATATGGATGAGCCGGTGTCGAAAATACTAACCAACTTGGAAGAAAGTGAAACGATCCGATTGGACCGCTGGAACTTGGATGTGGTGCCCAATGAACAGGTTAAAGGGACCGACCACGCTGGCAAAGACAATTTACCATTAAACGTGGTGAATAATTACTTCTCGTTGGGCGTAGACGCTCAGATTGCACTCGAATTCCACGAAGCCAGAGGTAATTTTGATGAAATTTATATCTGACATAGATCCCGATCATGTTCTCTTTTGTGGAAATGGCTCGTTTAGTTTACCATACCGTCTCTTTACAAAAATATCTGTTAATTTCCGTTTAAAATGGGTGCTGCCACTGTGCTTACCTGCTCTCGAGTCTTGTAGGTATAAATCACTCTGCCATTTCAATAACGGCCTCATCATTTCGTTTTTTTTTTTGGTAAAAACCACGTGGACAAACATTCTATATTATAATATACCCGAAAATCAGCATAACAATATTAAAAAGTTAATAAATTAACCCTTTAAGTATAAAACGTAAGCTAACCTAACCCAAACTAAGTTAAAATTATGCTTACGCATATCTATAACTTAAGTAAAAGACAATCAATTAAATATTTTTTTTTCTTTAATTACAATTATAAATACAAACAAAAAAATCAATTTATCATTTGATAAAACGTTTAATCGTCTAAGCCACTAGAACTCTCCTATATATAGTATATAATGCATTTTTAATGAAATAGGTGCTTCGCTATCAATTTATAGTTTAAAAAAATCAATTATTTTCTTTTTAACCGAAATTTAGTAAATATTTTTTCCTTAATATTAACTTTCAGTTGTAGAGTAAAATATAGGTATAGTTTGTTTACGGACAACTTGTAGCTTTAACTGCTTAATACGTTGACTCAACTAAAATAACCAAAGTTAGTGGTTTTTGATGCCTATGAATGTATCATCCATTATATATTAATCAATTAAGTATTTAATGACATTAGAAAAAAAATGCATAAATACACTTTAATGTAATCATTCCAGAGGCCAATCCGGAGAAATTCAGCTCGCGGATGTACAACAAACTGTTTTACGGCGTCCGCGGTGGTATCGAGCTGCTGGACCGGAAGTGGAAAGGTTTGTCGGATCACGTGACGCTGGAGTGCGACGGCAAAGACCTGACGCAGCGCATCAAAGACTTGAAAGTGCATGCCATATTGTTTTTAAACATACCCAGCTACGGTGGTGGCACGCGACCGTGGAACAAGTCAGCTGGCAACAACTCTACCGACGACGGGCTAATCGAAGTCATCGGCCTGACGATCATGCAAATAGTGAGCGTTTCCGTGTTTACTCAACATAATATTAGATCCGCCAGCACTCAAACGGTTATTTACTTACCTGCCGGCAGTTCACGTTTCACTTACCAAAAGATTGATTTTTAATTAAAGTTACGAGGACTCGTAGTAATGGTGTTCTACTCCCGCTTTTGTCCGCAGTGTTTGCCGAGCACACAATAGCCGAGTGAATTAACGTTGCACGTAACACAATACAAACGATACATTAAGAAGTCTCTGTAGTAATAGATACCAGACTAAACTGCCGACTGGTTCTTTTCGCTTCATATACTTTATTATCCGAAATCGAAGACGTTTTCTAGGGATCTTCCTATGAAAGGCCCTTTTCTGTGCAAACAAATCGCATTCCAAACATTGGTTCGTTATTTTAAACAAATATTAAACGCTTCTCGACGAACTTTTGGTGAACAAAAGAAAAACAACAATGGTTCTATAATAATTAATTTTTCTCTGGCGTATCTATTCAGCTGAGAAGGGTTACGATGGACATATATTATTGTCATAGAAAATAAATAAATGGGCGGCCGCTGCCCATACCTTATATGTTGGGTGTACCTAACCAAAAGTATGCTAGATAACACGGTAAGCTACGTCGACTGTTGTGTCATGTCGTGTCCATAAGTCGAGCTCAGCCCAACTCTGAAAATGCCCTTTAGTCTATAAATCATTGATGACGAATGATAAAATGATTTCAACTGCCAATCAGAATACGATAAAACTATAAAAGCCACACTACACTACAGACAACTTATAGCTGTTAACCCCAATTAAGTAGTGATAAAAATAGTATGTTTTATTGGTGTTAATATTATTGACAGATAACCAAATTATAATAACCACTGTTACCTATGATTGCTAGCTGCTGTCTCTCTCGTCTGTCACACATTATCTACATTTCTTTATTGACTGACATTATTGTGCCTGTCCCGTCTTGTCTTGTCGTAAATTTAAAAAAAAATAAAACCAAAATACTAGATGTACCTGCGGCATATCTAGTATACTCGCATATCTACCAATTCCGTGGTCATAACTTGAAACTAACTACATCTGTTTCTGTACTTTCTAGACGAGGCTGCAAACTGGAGGGACTGGAACACCGTTGTGCCAATGTAAAACCGCTCGGATAACTACCAGTATACCGGTGCCCATGCAAGTGGACGGCGAAGCTTGCCGTTTAAAACCGTCGGTGATCACGCTGGAATTCTTTAACCAGGCAACAATGATGGCGAAACGTCGGAAAGGCAGACAGACGCCTACCCGGTAAGTTAGAAGCTGTTCGGGTTTTATTAATTGACCACAAACACTACTAACGTGATTATGACAAAATCGTTGGTTTTTAATTTTTTCAGAGAGACTACGATAGACAAGCACAGAGTGTCTGTCCAAAGACTGAGGCTTCAAGATTACGAACAACACCACTGTGACAAAGAGTTGCTCATTCAGTCGTGTGAGTAACCGTTTCCGATTATATTTACAACTCAAGACTCCCATAATATTATATATCTAAATCTCGAACACATTCTACGTGCGTGCGCAAGTCTAACCTTTTTTGTAAACTCTTCCTAAAAAAAATGTTTAAATACTATTAATACTTTTAAAAACTATTTATATCCCATGAATATGTTATTTTTAAATATTCAAAACACTTGTTGAGTGTTTAATAAATACTGTAATTCTAAATTATTTGAATAACACTTCATAATCATCTGACTATTTGCTTTTTTTTTTATAAATACTTGTATAAAAAGTATTTTACAAATAATATTCACACGTACCTATACACCATACATATACGCTCCTGCGTTTAGGTTATTTATACTAGATTGTTTTTACGGTGGTTTAGCAATCAATATGGGAGAAATCGAAGTGGAACCGGTGGCGGATTTAGAAACCGTGCGTAATTTAGTGGACAAGTTGGAGTTGAACAACAGTCCGTCAAAAGACCACGTGGGCAACGTCTTGCCAAAACTATCGCCCGACTGGTGTTTCGTCGATTGTGCGTATTATACAATGATATTATTATTCCTTATACCAAATTATTATATTTGTAACAATGAGAAGTGGTGAGTAAAAAATAAAAATGAAAATATTTGACACCCTACTCCACACAGGTTGCACTGCCGAACGGTTCTTCAGGATCGACCGAGCCCAGGAGAGCCTTCACTACCTCATAGACATCACACATGACCAGCTGTTCGTGTTGGATGATCCGCATAGACCGCCGTCAGTCGAAGAAGACGTGTCTGTGGTCCTGAAATCTAAAGAACCGATCGACGACCAGGGTGCTCAAGACACGACAACAAGGTCAGTATAAAATATATGTCATATTTTTCTATATTTTAATGATCTGCTGAGGTCAGGTAAGTGGAGCATCATTTTTAAAGGGTTACTATTGTTGTTGGTGTTTAAAGCATGCGGGTAAAGTCGGAGATAAGTCGATTGGAAAGCATCAAAACAAAGTCAACGGTCAAATGTCCACAAGACGAAGGCCAGACCAACGGGACCAATCATTCCACAAGAGCTAGGTACCAGCAGGTCTTATATAATATAATAATATAATTATTCTCGACACTTAATCGATCCAATAATTTTTTTATTGTTGTGTCTCACACGTTACACAGTACGTTTGTTTTCATTTAACTTTGCGGCTTTAATTATTCATAAACGTAACCTATTTCGTATATTATCATTCTCACCAACAAGTTAAACGATGTTTACATGCTTATCGATTGATTCTAATTTTATTGCGAATCATACATGAGTATTATATTCATATTTGTATTATATTTCATTCTAACTGTATAGGTTTTCAAACAAAAACTTATATTTAAATAAATTTGTCAAATAAAGTTTAAACTCAATACGAGTGTATGAAACCGCTGTACCTAACTTTGTAAACATTAATTTCATATATCAAAAACAAAAGTACTTTTGTGGATAAAAATAAAATGTTTACCATCAAAAAATATATTATAACTATTTATAACAATGCACGTTACATTCTTATCCTTTTTTTTTATAATTTTGCATGTTCGCTTAGTGAAGTATACAATCGTCTATTCGACCTTCAATCAAATGAAGATCAGTAAGTACAGTTAATCAATAAGGCCAGAATCTTCCAAAGTTACAAAAAAGATTCAATATTTCGTTTTGAGGAAGTGTATTGGTTTTTTTTTATTTCAATTTTATAATAATAATATAATATAATGTTTTAAATTAGAGTATGAGTAAAAGATAAAAAAAAATTTTAAAAGTGTATGACAGGTCACCTATAATCGATGAATCTTTTTTGTAAGCATTTCATTATATTTAATAAATGTTGTCGTATGTTGCAGTCATTACGGTCAAGTCCGAACTTCCGATAAAATAATCGAAGCGGCCAAAACAGGGAACTTAAACATGGTAATGTACAAAAACACAAATTGAATCGTTGCACCCAGGTTTCACACAACAGTGTGGTGTTATTTTTGTACGAAATCCTGCTGCAGGATTTCGCACATCGTTCTATAATGTACATGAACCGTTAATTTATTTCATTGTTTGCGTACCAAACTATAGTTCCTACCTACATGTTTTATTCAAATCGTTCGCCCCCGTACTATTTTGATTTCCGTTTAAAACCGATTTATACGTTTTCTGTGTTTATTCTACCGATAACGTCATATACTGTGTCGTTGTGTGCCTGGGGTACATACAGCACAACGCCGTCACTTAACTTTTTTTTTCTGTTTTCATTTTTCAGCTGAGGAATTTGTTCGAAATGGGTTACTCTCTGATGTCCATCAACAAGGACGGGCAGACAGCTTTACACGTGGCCAGCCAGCGCGGCGATTCAAACCTGGTTCGGTATATACTGGCCAACGCGCCGTCCAACATCGTGTCGGTCAAAGACAATCAAGAGTAAGTCAAACAAAGATATGCATATCAATCAATAATCAACTGCAGCTAGCAGTGTTGCTGGTAGATTTTGTAATAACTTTGTTTGTAAAGATTTTTACAAGTATCTAATTTTGAGAATTTTAAAATGCTCATACCGATCGATTAATATACCAACAAAAAATATAAGAGAAGCCCTAGCTAATATAATGTTTATCTTTAAATTTGATAATAGGTCAATAACTAAAAAGAACGAAAAAAGTGGATTCTTCTTATCGCACATTTTACAGTGTTATGCCTTTTGTGTTATTAACACGGAGTCAACACATTTAAGTACGACGTCCTCTTAATCGGAAAAAAATGAATAAAAATAAGTTCTATAAAGTAAAATATTTATACTGAGTAAGTAGGTATTTATAATATTAAAAACTCGTCACAGTTCAGTCTTCAATCATTTGAACTTGGAACTATACTTTATTTAATTGACTATTCTCGAAATACATTTTAACATAGACATTTTGTTCAAATAATTATACTTAATTACCCTTTTTATATTTCCATTCTTTTTCCAATGATTATTGATACAAAATTAGAGAAAAACAAGTATACTGTTTTTTTTTTTAAGAAAAATAAAGTAGTTTTATTAGATTAAAGTAACTTCATTACTTTGATATGCCTATAATATTAACGATTATAAAGTAACTTAATCTAAACACCTATATGGATACTACCTACAAATAACAATACCAATTATTTATTAGTATGAATAAGTAGAACATAAGACAAATGTGCTACTTTAAAAGTCAGATACCTGCAAGACATAATATAGTGAAATGCTGTTCAATGAGTAGGCAGTGTCTTGCGTAAAATTAAATAATCGAGTAGGAGGTATTATATTATTTAACTATACTTATATTTAATGAAGAAAAACTTTTACCGCTTTGTTTCGCTTTCGGAGTGGTTTTGCTTAACCATCGGCAAAAATTTTCTTTATTTCTCTGTTGGCCCGAACACAGTGAACGCTCGCACGCACTTCCATTGCCCGGGGGTGCCATCGGAGTAAATCCACCCCCGCTAATGCGGTTTCGTCGTACCTACTGGCGCACGTGTACGCCACAGCAACCACCCTTCTGCCACCACAGTCCTTCGTTTACTCGATACATAATATTATATTATTCTCTCGTTCAATTTGCGCCTACTCGATTTGATTGTTACCGAAGTAAAATAAAAATATTTGTTAATAATACACAAGTGCACCGCTGTCATAGTATACGAATTAAGTTTGATCTCGATAATTGGTACGCTAACCGTAATATATAAGAAGCGCAATTGGTACACTGACCCAAAACTATATGCAGCGCAATTGGTATATTGACCTTAAAATACAAATTTGGTTTTATGCGCAATTGGTCCATAGCCCCTCAATAAATACCTCACAATATATAGCGAATTCGATCGTTCGAATATTATAATATTCTTCTGTTTGTTGGCGGTTGTGATTCATTTGTAGTGTGTTCATCACCGGTTCTCGCCCATAATCCATATATTACATAGAAATCTGCTTACTGGCTAACTAGTATTTTACTAGCTATTGGAGCACAGTGACCCTCTCAGACTTGGTCTGATACCGTCTATCAGCCAAATCGGCTGCTTATGATTATTGTGAAGGTATATTATTCTTTGGATAGAGAATCTCGAGTAGCGGTTTATTAAATATCGCACCCAACGTCGAATTACATTATATGTTTATATCAATCGAATCGTAGAACGGCGTCATTGGAACGCTGTTACTGTATAATTGGTATACCTACGCATGCCAATTATGACTGCCTCGGGTACTTGGCACAATTCTCGGCAAACGTTTCAAAACGTAATGATAATAATATTTTTTTTAATACCGTGAATAAATACGAATAAAAATTATATACTGTCAAAATATAAGTCAGTGCAACTAAAAAAAAATTACAATTTCTATAAAAAGTAATTTAATTAATTTGCATATTTTTTTCTGGTTGGTCTTATTGTATGTCAACATGCAAGTTCCTACCCACAAAATATGATTCACCAGATTGTTAAACAACTAAAATATTGTTTGTGCATATATTTATGAATATTTTAATGGTTTGTACTTTGGTAAAAATATTTTAAAATCTAAAGTTATTTTATTCAATTATAAGTTTGTCCTAAAGTTTATCGAGACTTGTGAATGTTTATGATCAATGGGTCATTTAGATTACAATATAATCCAGTCTTTCTCGGAGTGGGCGATAGTCCCTTCCCCCTGTGGGCGTTAGTATCCTTCAGAGGGGGGTGCTTTAAGACCCAGAAAATTTTAATTAATCATTAGTGTAATAGTGTGCTGTCTGTTGGATGTGATGAAATAAACATTTACAAAATCCAAGAATTTTTTTTTATATTTCTTTGTAACGCTCTAACCCTATAATAACACTATTTTATAAAATTTTAAAAAGGTCTATGTGGGGATTTGACACACGCAGCCCCCTTGAATACACCTCTTTGTCTACATATTGTAAGTTTAAAACATTTTGAGGGGCTCTAGAAAATTATTGATTTTTAAAGTGGATGATGGATAAAAGTTTGAAAACCTAAGGTATAAGCTATCGAGTAAAGTGTTATACTGTAATACAAACTTCAGCTAGGAAGGTACTAATTTATTTCTAGTGTCCATTAATTATACTTGAATAAAAAGTACGTAATATTATTATGTATATAATTTTAGGAAGGTGTCACAGGCCTCATAGAAGATATTCATAATATGGAAAAATCTTTTCTCCTCAATAAATATATTAGTGTATGCCTTATACACTGAGGTTGTAAATAGAGATCTCGTGTCGACTTATTGATTTGTTGTGAGAGAAGGGCTAAGATTGGTGGTTCTTTTAACTACACGAAATTTTGATCAGAAATTATAATATTATCATCACAATTTTATGTTATATTCATGTACTTTTTTATTCTATTAAAGGAAATGATACCCACACACAACGTCTGTGAGTGGGTTAGTGGATTGTATTAAAATATATATACATATAGATTGTACAAGCATAGAGTAAAATATAAAAATAGAAAGTTATAAAATAAGAATTCTTAAAATAGTTGATATAAAATAAAATACAATACCAGAGAGATAAAAAAAACTTACGGGTTGTCGAATAGAGGATTAATTAAACATTTCAAGTAGTTTTCAATAATCAAATTATTACGATAAACGTATCGATACATATAAATATATAATATAATATCACATCGGTACATTATTTTGAGAAGTACCTAGAATTACCGTCGTAATCACGTCATCTTGAGAAAAAATATAGGTACAGCTATGCCTAATAACGGTTTTTTAGATATTATAATTCATTATTTACATCATAGACAAGTGCTTAGAAGAGCATTTAAAATGTATAGGTGCTATCTGTGCACAAATTTATCGGAAAAGCCTTTTAATAACATTAAATAAATAGCATTTCTTAACGCAATTAAGTTGAAATGTGTACGTCTGACGATAAATGATATGGCCCCCACTTAAAATACAACTGTATAGCAATCCTTTGTAACAACTAACAACCATATAAAAGATTTCACTAATATTGGGCTGGTCAGATAAAAACCTTAAAACACACACACACACACGTTTTGGAGATGATTTAATGGTTATGACTGCCCTAAACTGACTGATGTCCAAATCCTCGAACCGTACTCAAGCGTAGATCGGTCAAAATAACAACATAGCACTTTTAAGGCGTTAAAACAACAAAAAACAGAACGATTTTGCATGATGATAACTCCACCTGTGAACATTTGTATATTACATTTATAATATTGTAGTTTGTAATGTATTTTCCACGATCGTTAAATATGAGCCTAAAACGGCATAGTTTACTTACGCGTGAGCGGTCGATATGACGAGGATGAGGTGAGTTTCCGGCCTTCGGTTTTTTTCATTCAGATAGTTTATCTCCAGACTTAGTTTTCAAATATTTTTTCTAAGATTGACGTCCACCCTAAAATTAATTATGTACATATTTACATGAAAAGCACTAGTTTTTGTTTGTAACATTTTATTTATATATTTGTGTTTACACTACAAAGTTCAAACATAAAAACTCTAAACTTTTCACTGGCCATGTTTAGAGAGAATATTTTGACGTAAAACACTTTTATACTATACAATACTTACCTAAAGGGCTGAAATTTATAGAAGGCACTCAGGGCACTTGCCTCATATTGGCATATTTGGCCGCACATTTTTCAATGATAAAATTAACTTTAATTATTTGGTTCCTGCTCTAGATCATATGATGATAATGAGACAATATGGTAGGTAAAAACCTAGGAGTATACAAACACTTTCAGAAAAATCTTGAGCTTTTTTTGTTCCATACACTGCTCTTAGTCTATAGAATTATCTATATAATTGTTTATTGGAAAAATCTATTGTCCATATCAGCAGACAGCAGTTGTTACTTTGAAAGACCACACTATTAATTCCAACATTGCTTCCAGCAAAAGATAGTTCTTCTATGGACAGACAGCCAACGCTAAATAATAATAAGCAATACTGATTTTTTTCTAGGAAGTAACTTATAACGACCAGAAATCAAAAAAAAAAAAGAGTTTATTCCGATATTTTAACACCTTTGAGACCCCTCTATAGGAGTTGTTGTTATTTCGGGGTAAAAAGAAACCTGTAATAGAGTTTCTGCTTCACTATCGAGTCCCAACGAATCTATAATATTGATATAATTTTCATTTTGAAATCGGACAATTTGTTTCGAAGATTAGTGGATAAAACTCAATTTCAAGTCACATTATTATTGTCTTATAGTTTATACGCAGTAAGTCATACCTATATAAAATGTTTACAGCGTTTTCGTTTTGTTTTTTTTTATTTCGCGTTCAGAGGGCAGACGGCGTTACACGTGGCTGTCCAAAACGGCGAACGAAAGATCTGTTACCTATTGGTGTCGGCCGGGGCGCCGCTATTGGCCGTCGATAAACAAGACCGGACGGCTCAGCAGATAGCCGAACAGACCAGAGACTACGATCTCGCCAAATACTTGGAATGTAAGTACCTCCACTATACGTATCTATATCATGTAGACAGTGATGATGCCGCGTAATTAATACCGAAAACCTGCACCCACCCGCGACCATCCGACGATATGGACTCAAACCGTCCGCAAGATTATTAATTTGCAACCGTCTCCTCCACAGGTCCGAACGTTATTCTACAGACGTGACCGCTATACTTAGGTGTGTCCCTAAGTGTACGTTTCTGTTTCACCGATGTAAATTACTGTTCTCGCTGCGTAAACACGACTATAGAGACATGATCCAAATCCTTTTCAATAACTATTGGAAAATTGTGACATTTCTTTAAATTTTTTTTAGACAGAAGACGAAACGACGAATTTGCTTAAGGACTAAGAAAAGGCTAAAACTGATACGGTCTGTATCTGTCTAAAAAAACAAAACAAAAAATAGTGTTTCATAGTAAAAGCTGTATAAAAAATAATAATACGATCCCGGTGCTTAAGTCCTTCGTCCGTAGTTTACTGCAACCTGCCTATTACGCTTTTATATTATACAGACGACGATATTATGATACAGTATTATTATACTCGATCGTAAATCACTATGAACAATAGTAAATATTATAGAAAAACCGTCGAGCTCAAAACTTTTACAATACAATATTTGAGAACTACTTATTATGTTACCTACTTGAACTGTTACTGCACGTAATATTCATTTTTTTCTTTACGTTCCTGATGTCCTTAGAAACCTGCTATTATTATCCTCACTGGATTTGATGTCCTTAGTGCAGTCATATTATATTTCGCATAATTCGACCGTATCGGTAAAGTAGGACTACTATAACTGCGATAGTCTAATACTAGTAAAACGATTTTGTTGCCCTTTTATAATATTATATAATATCCTTGTGTTGCATTATTATAAATATATTACCCTGCATACGTATTATACCTACATCTGGTCCATAACCCACTCTTAATATATAGTTCAGCTGTAATGTTTTGATCGTGTAAATAACGTCAACAGAGTGGTTCTTTTATCACTTGCAGTTATTTTTCTCGGTAAATGCATGGGTTCATGATAATACTTTTAGTACATAATTTCAATTCATTGCGACACAACATTAATGAAAAATAATTTATTTTTGTTTTTTTATTAACTATAACATCTATTTTCATTTCATACATAACTTTACACATCGAAATTGCCAGAAAAATATTTCGCTTTAGAATATGACATTTTTAAATGTATGTTACTAAAATACTTATTTTATCAAAAATGTGTTGTAATGACTACAAATCGTATAAGCAAAAATATTTTTGAAAACCCATAAGTCAATTTACTGCAAAAAAATCACTGTACAGTTGTATAAGAGGACCGTCTATATATTTATATATATTTTATAGATTAAAATAATTAAACATTCATTGAATTTTTCATTGCTATATGATGTAGTTTTGATGTTAAAATTAATAAAATGTTATTATAAAAAACTGGTTATTTTTGTTTGTTATAAAATTGTAATTATTAATTGATAGGTACTAGGTATATTCTATTTAACTTATATAGGTAGAGAGACAAATTTAAAGAATATGAGTATTCAATGAAATTAAAAATAACCGATATTATAATCTTCACAAACTATAACCATCGGTCAGTCATAAAGATTTTTCGTCCAACACAACGCCTCAAGCTCTTAACCATACCTGAAACTACGGGATTGTTGGATTTAATTAGACGCTTTCTTAGAAAGAATAATATAGTGCCTTGAAATTAAAATTTCCTAGATTAAAGTGTCACTAGTTACTACAATAGCAGTTGAAATATAGTTCCAATGGTCTTCGTGAAAATTTTTTTTTTAGTACAATTGAGCATGCTTAATAGAAACAAATAATTAGTAAATGACAATTTCAAAAAAAAATAGATTCGAATAATATATACGCTTGTATAATGATGTATATAAGTTGTAAGTTGCAAAGTTCTCATCAAATACGCGCATATAATATGAGTTTCTAACGAAAGAAAAAAAAACTCTTGACGTCTTAATATAATACTATAGTAATAATAATACTAAAAATAATATAATAATAATGTCGGTTAGGATGCAAAAAAAATGAAATAAAAAAATTTTAAAACTTCGGTACATTCCCAGCTCACACGTGTGTATAAATATGTGTGCAGGGATTATTCATGCACGACACATCCTTATTATAATAAACCTCGTCAGAAATAATTTTTCCTGAACATACATTGACGCTCGAGGCAGGTTTTTCGTTAAAGTGCGTATACCTATGTGCGCGCTCGTCCATTGTTCAGGACAACGAAAAACAAAAAATATACGAGTAGCTCTTTTATCCTGAACTTTTGTATTTTAAAGATCGACTGTAAAAATACGGGCACCGAGAACAATACACACATAGGTATAATATCTTTTAATATATTATATTGTATAAAAAAAAAAACAAAAACAAAAACAACAAAACGACTCGCTGTAACACTCTAGTGAAAAAAAGGAAAAAAATACGTTTTCGTTGTAGATAAATCGTTGAATGGAAAAATACATCAACACAACGGTCTCGTCCTCCCACCGATTTACAAAAATATTAAATTATCTTGTCCTCTGTGCATTATACACGCACGCAGTGCACAATTGTTATCGTCATGTTTTGGTGTGTGCAAACTTCGAATTAAGAAAGCGAGCGCAGTGGATGCCCAATAAACTGAGATAGGACGTCGTGTCTTCAACCGGCCGCCTTATAGTTATCTTTATTAGAGACCCGCTAACACGTTATAAGTACGGCGCTTGCGCCTTTAAACGCAATACTTGTAATCATTCGATACGTGTTTTGTATTTTTTATTACGAATGTGGTACTCTAGATTATATAAAAAACAATAATTATAATTGGCTCCGCCACTTGAAAATGTTGAAGAAGCTCGAGCTAAGATAAATCTGCCATGGTAGGACATTCGTTATAAATAAAAATATAATAAATTATACATTAACTTCCATAATAATTCAGCGACGGATCCAGGGGGGGGGGGCTAGGGACTATCTGCATAACTTTCTGTTACTACCTATAAGACAACGCGTACCTATGTATTTTAACAAACACAGTGGTTTAGGAAAAAGTTAATATATCTTTAGTTACTTATTAGAAAATTTTCTGCAATTTCCAAATTCTTATTCTGGTGCAGCTTGCAATCATTTCATTTTCCATCGACGCGCGATACGGTAAGAAATGGAATGCAGTTAACGTTATAGTAGTAGCCATTGTTTTATATAAAAAAAGAGCCCACCACACAAGTTTGGTGACTCGCTTGGTCCATTTTTTTAGCCCACTGTCTGTCCAAAATATAACGTTGTGCCTTTGTGGTCTGCTTTTTCGGTATTTTATCAGCTGTTTTTAAATAAATATTATATAAGCTGCGGTTGGTCCGGCTCCGTATTTCGTCAATTCCTAAGTACACTGGCAGTTTTGTTAAGGTCCAAAATTATCATACTTGGAACTTGCGCTTATGGCTTTTGTGGTGACCCTGCGAGCTTCAGACGTCTCGCACACCTCTCACTAGTCGCAGAAAATAATATAGACACAGACAGACACACTTAGGTTTTTAATTGCGTTCTGGCTAGGTGATCCGTGCTCGAGGTCGGGTAAATGGAATACAACAGTGTTCACAAAAGAAACGCCACCTGTGGACAAACGTTATCTAGCCCACGGATAAGACATTATTTATTTTTTAAATATTGTTTTTTGTGGTGATTTAAATGAGATTTTCACCAATTTTCACTTGATTTTTTATTTTTCGTTACCTTTTTCTAGATAAACTCACTTACATTCGATTTTGAAAGTTCCCGATAACTGATATACTCAATTCATAAAGTGGCCAAATATTTGTGATTCCTGGTGTACAGCGTGGACCATTGCACCATGCACTGGGCCAATTGGTCGCTTTGCTTTTTAAATTTGGTGTGCAATATTTCTGTGCCTAAGAAACTGTGATTACTCACCCTGGTTCAAAATAATAGTCAAAACCTAATTCAATTCATTTTTGCTTACGATATTCATAAGACAGAAATAATACAATAATATAATATGATCTTAAATACCCACATTTATTATTTATAATATATGTTGAGCCTTTAAATATTATTGTCGAAATCGATGCTTGTCTTTGCATGCCGTAGCCATCACCAAAAGCAGATGAGACTATCCGACAGCTGACTACGGTTTTCATTACGATTTTTTTATACTCGTGATTACATTTTAACTAAATATTCAAAGTTATCGAAAAACATTTTGTTATTATTTTCAATCTAATTAAAAATGTCTTTACATGAAGTATAATATAAGTTAGTAGTACAGACACTACATTATAAATATTATTATGTTCAAAAAATGCGAAATTCATTCGTATTAATTGAAAGTTGTTTTAAATTCTTTTTTATAAAGGTACTTATAGTTTGACTTGTAAATTATACAAAAATTATTTGTTTTTAAAATACCAACAAATTACTCATTGTTTTGTTAAATCTAAAATTAAATTATTTTTTATTTATGCACTTATGTAACTAGTTTATTAATTTTATATTATATTACACTTATTTCAAGTACATTAAGTGCAGTGATTTTCGTTTTACCAAAGGTTTCAAATAACTTAAATCAAATGCTTACTCTACAATGTAATAGGACGCTATTCACTTATCCAACCCAATAACTCGTTTTAATTATCGTATTCGGTGACCTTTTTTTAATTGCACGTCATGCATGATAATTTAAAATTAAACTTTTATTCGTTAGTATAATATAATAGTCGCAAGCGTTAATGGTCGTTATACTTGTTTTTTTCGGAGAATGTTTTAATTAATTTCAGATTTGAACACAATTATTCGTCTAGCCTTTACATTTTTTTTCACAGCCAATCCTAACTAATTCGCTACTGAATTACTCGCGGCGAAGCGCATCTTATAAACTGTGTCGACTGTCGACCTATAGTGTAACAATACATTTTAGTCGAAGTGAAAATT